ACCAAGATCATTGATGTTGTCATGGCATTTACTCCGTCCATAGTACCCAAACGTTTCACCTGTGGCTATTAGCTTATTGAATAGGAATATCTAGCGGTGTGTAAAGACACTCAAATTGTCTGTGTCTCTAGAGTCCAATACTTACATATTCCACCTAGGATAAAACTTATAAAATACCATGACCGCAATGGAAACATGTAGATTATATGTGCCAAAGTGAGTAATGCAAAAAGAGCCGTGAACCCGTAGGCAGCGGGTTCTGATGGATTGTAAGTGAAATATACGCCTCCAGTGATGTTCCCCTCTGGAGACTGGATGAGTGTAATATCCATGATGTGTTATTGTTTAATTTCCCTTTGTTGAAAATAGGCCAGAATTAATAAATAGAAGGCAGTATATATGGTGATGATGACATAAGATGTATGAAATTGGGGAAATGGTAAGCAAGGTGGAAGTCAGAAAGAATGAAAAATTATAAGGTGTTAGAGCAGAGATAAGTATCTTGCTATTAAATATCAACTTGCATTGGTGACGGCCCTTACTTACCAATGTGGTCAGCTTATACGCAGTACGAGAGTTGGTGATCCACTTGTACCCTGACATCTAGACCGAATACTCTAGCCCTACCAATATGAAGTGACAGATAGCCAGTCAGGGGTCACGACTAGCAAGAATGATTTCCTTAAAATGATGACCAGCACGGAGACCTGATCGGCTTCTATTTTAGGACCTTTTGTTGTTCTTGGCTCATCGGCAGTTTGCAACGACAGATAGACAGTTTGTAGGGTACCTCATCATGCAAGGGGTGGACCAAATTGAGACGATTCAAAGTGAAATGTTATGACAACTGCCACTAAACAGAAGTCGGAGGTGAGAAATTTCGAAGCTACTCCAAACACAACACGTACAGACAGAGATTGTCTGCTCGGCCACCCCCTTCTCGAAAATAAAAATAAAAAATTCTCTGGAATTGATTCAAGTCGTCTAACCGGAATCGACCAAGTCAGTAACAACTAATCCATATTGGGAAGTCGTGTACGAGTACGCTCCGAGATGCACAGATCCTAATAAACGCCAAACTCGCCTACTGGCCAAGATATTCTGCAAAACGCCAGATGTGGGGCGACAAGCTGGAACCTTATTTTTCGTATGACATTTCCGAAAGCAGCCATATATACGTGTGTCCCGCTCCAAGATTCGACACGAGCTTATCAAACAAACTGGAAGAGTAAGGAAGAAAGCCGCATTAGCTTCGACATTTCAAATTTTCCATTGATCGTATTCAAGTCCCAAATAGTACTTGATAAACGAAAGGCAGCGACGACTTCTCGAGGCATCTCTTATTGGTTGGATTACCTGTGACCGAGACCTAGTCGCGTATACACCTTTCTCAAGTCTGAGGTACGACTGCACAATTCAATCAGGTCCGATGATCCGAAGACCTCACAAGAAGTCGCGCAATGGATGTCTTGGTTGCAAAAAGAGGCGAATCAAGGTATGTTTATATATTCTTTAACCACCTATTCTCCCCTTTTTTTATTATTTACCTCTGAAATTTGAACACAAACTCAAGCATGTCGATTTTATCCACTCTACGTCAATCGCTAACATTATTTTGCTTCTCCTCGAAGTGTGACGAGGAAAAGCCCCGCTGCCAGAGATGTGTCTCACGTGATATCACATGTCATTACCCACGAGTGCAATCTCTTGTCTGGGTTGATGACCCATCTACGTCAGAAACAAACAGTAAAGCATCAAACGACAGTGGCCCTTCACCTCCAGCTTACAGCTCGACTCCTCAAAGTGAGGAAGCTCTGGCTTCGGACACGAAAACTCCGTCCCTCAATCTCGAAAACATAGATCTGATTATCCACTGGTTCACGAAAACCGTGTACACAGTAAATCCAACAAATAATCTTGATGCCTTAAAAAAATCACAAACTCTCATCTTGAATCAAGCAATGGAACATCATTTTCTTCTCCATGGACTCCTTGCCCTATCAGCTCTTCACTACGCAGAATCCCATTCAGACCCTCAGAAATATATCGAGATCGCCACGGCACATCACACCCGAGGGCTTACTCTTTACCACTCCATCCTCTCAAATATGAACAAAGGGAATGATGTTGCCAGTATTGCTTTCTCGAGTATTACTGCTATGTTTGCTTTTGGTCTCGCCAGGCCCGACGCAAAGAAAGAGGCTTCAGTGGGATTGATTGACGACATGGTTCAAGCTATTTCTTTATCTAAAGGTTGGCAAGCCGTTATGCATGTGAGACGGGGACTAGAGTCCCCCTCCCTCCAAAGAGATCAGGTCACTCTGTCACCGAATGCAGAAGCTACTTTTGATCGACTATATGCTTTGAGCCAAGGGCAAAACGAAACACTCTATACAACAGCAATCACTTCTCTAAAATCCGTTTTCAAGAAGACAGAAGAAGGACAAAATGACAATCCGCATCTATCCTGCGAATGGGGATGCGGGTTGCAAGAAGAATTCTTGAAATTGATCAGGGCTAGAGATGCTCTTGCTCTGGTGATTGTGGCATTTTCTTGTGTGATTATCGGAAAGGTGCCACAGGTATGGTGGCTTAAGGGTTGGAGTAAGGGGCTTTTTGGGGTTATTTGGAGGGAAGTTGGACACGATTATCACGAGATTTTGGAATGGCCGAGGAGGATTGTTGGGTTTGAAATATAATGCAAATGTATTAGAATCGCGGATCATGGCGTTGGGAACTATTGATAAATTGGATTTAATATTCAGTGATAGCAAAGAATTCTAACGGTCGCAAGAATTCGCAACCGGACATTGTAAAACATAATCAAATCTTCTAGTGTAAATAGAAAACACCTTTAATTTATATGACCAGAGATATTACAACGGTGTCAATTTCATGTTTGTTTGCAAAAACTCCCAACAGTTTTTTGGCTCTAGTCGGGGCTCAAACAGTCAGATGTGGAGAACCCTTCTCCGCTCTGTGATCTTGTTAGGTCTGCCGGCCTGTTCCAAGAATAGTTTCTTACGAAATCGCCATAAGTGCATCGGAGAACAGCAAGGAATTTGAAAGGGGGTGTATTCAAAGTATGCCCTTGTATTTCTAAATCCGTTCCACCACTTACAGTGAAGACGCTAAGCTGGTAGAGCGCGGGCTCTAAATACTGTCATCAACAGCAAATAATTAAGCTTTTGAGGTACTAACCCGAATTAGAGTTCGCGTGTGAGGTGCGGGAAGGATCGGTCAGATGAAGATTAGATGGTGAAGAAAAAGCAACGACTTTCATCCATTAATAATAGTAATCGATTTTCTGTATTGTAAGGCTCGAAGAATAGTATTGAATCATCTCTTTCGCTAGTGATTATAAATATATGCTCATAGCCAAATACAAATGCATGTAGCTTTCAGCGAGATAAAGTTCGGCATAAATTCACGTCGTGATATTCATACAGATAGCTTACTGACGGACTGTAAAATCTGCGGAGTCAAAACAATGTGGTTCATGATGTCTGTATCATCTGATCTTGCCATGAGACGACAATGATAATGTCAGTAAGATTTCTGGAAAAATAACCAAACCCGGACAACGATAACAAAAATTTACGCCCCGAAACATCGATGGAATCTCAGCTGACACCTCCCAGCAGTAAAATTAATTACCAACTTCTACACCCTCGATGCTATCACATGTTGCACAAGGAAGGAAGCAAAAACTTCCTGGAATCTCATCTTCAGATTGTATAATAGAACATCATTGATATCATTCGTTTGAGATATTTATATATATAACTAGCTTACAATAACCTCCTAGATCACCTAGAAGTGAATCATCCAAACCCCAGAACTTGAACCTGCTTTCCTTCTCCAGGCCCCCCACCCTTTCCCAAAGAGAAAAGCTGCAGATAAACACATAAAAACTCCATCACACAATCAATTTATTCGTGATCGACTATCCGCATCAGCGAGATATAGAACAGGTGGAATAATGTGGAAAAATTCTGTGACAAAACAAAGAATCAACAGCGGGAAGAGCGTGAGAAATTGCGGTATCATTTGCACATAGCATGTACCAAGTGATTATCTCTAATTGAGAGGATTATGTATGTATGTGGTGAGTTTTATAATGACAGCACAGACTGCTAGCGGGGAATAAAGCAATAGCCGAGCGTAACATCGATTAAGCGAAGGACAGCAATACTAAGATACCTACCAGCTTCGACCCTATCAGGCTTTCATGATTTGTAACTTGATCTCTCACAGGGAAGATCTTACTGCTGACCGGAAGCCACTCTCAACAACAGCAATGATTCCAAGATGTATTGACACACCCCTCAATCTCGATTTTCAGCTCAATTCTCTTGCTACTTTTCATAACGTATGGCCCAAAATAGAAAACTTTTGACAATCTCCCGGAGGTCCCACCATTGACGTCCTCGTCGTCGTCACCCACCTCCCTCTATACCAAAACAAAAAGCAAAAAAACATACAACAGTGGGGATTCGCTGGTGGTCACCCACCCAACTACTAATCCACCGATCTGAAGCTTGTGTATGGCAGAGCGGACGGGATGCCCAATTCTCTTCAGTCTATGGTCGTATGTGATAGGTGTTCTCACAAACAAAATCATATACCTAGAAATTATATGACAGCCCAGACATATGATGTCTGAAAAAAATCAGACGACATAAAACTACGTCAGACATTCTCATATCAATAGGACAGATACTCGAGTATAATTCAACATCCAAATATTCTCGAACAATGGCATCCAAACACTTCTCACCTGTTTTGTCAAGCTAGGAACTAAAGTAAACGTAACCTTTTTAATCTCTGTCATCTTTTGGACCTTTTTGGCCACTAAATGCTAGTCTCTAGTCTCCAGCCAATGAAATTACGTCATTATTTATGTATCATATCGCTACTAAAGATACAGTATTATGTCTAAATTTCATCTTTTCACTCACTTTAGTAAAAATACATGACCTCATCGCCATTTTCTTATCCTAGGGGCCGGAATGTCCCGACCCGCCAGTGCGTGACGAAGATGGAACAGCAGCATTATCAACTTGAGCAGCTGGTTTCTTAGTTCCTCTACTTGATTTCTTCGCTGGCGTTCTTGCTTCTATTGTCTTGCTTTTACTCTCTTGTCGTTGTTGTCCAGGACTCTCAGTTCTTTTTAGTGAACTTCCATGATCACGACTATTTCGAATCGGTAGGCTTTGATTCTGGTCTTCTCGATACTTATCTCGGCTTTTCTCTCTTTTCTCTCCTTTTCCTTTCTCTGTTCCCGTCTTCCCTAGTGAAGCTTTTGACGAGGATCTGGATCTGCTGCTTCTAGTCATCATAGTGGGCACGTATCCAAAACCATAGTGTCTGACTGCGCGTGTGGCCACTTCGGTACTGATCTCTTTGGAGTCATTGGCCAAATTGCAATGATCTCTGAAGTTCTTCCCCACCAGCATCTTATTTGAATGTAGAATGCTGCCAACTGAATTTCCAGGGCTCCAAAACCTCCCGTACTTCAACCACCAGCCCGCATGAGAGAACTCGCGAAAATCGCTCGCGTCAGCCTTTAGCATCGCTTTACGCTGAGCGTCAAAATCATCAAGAATGATTCTCCGCTCTTTCGCCAGCTTTTCTTTGGGCAAAAGTCCCTCGTAATTGGTGTAGCCGTCGTCAACGCTACCGTAGTACTCCAGAACACTACGAGTCAAATTTACAGTCGCCTTGCGAAATTTCTCGTCGCGCGCCCACAGTTTGTCGAAGTGTCCCTCGGCCCGCGCCAGCACATCGGCTTGCCCTTGCTCTAGGAATGCGAGGTTGACTAGTCCTGGGTAGAAGATCACAAACTGCAGTCGTGAATATGCACAGAACCTCTGACTTTTATACGCTGTGCTTTCTCGGTCCCATAGGCGTCTGTCGGGAGGGCATATGTTGACAGTATTCCAGGCGCGATATGTCAACCCAGTGTCACTATCTTTCCAAGTCATTTTATCAACGCAGTGCATGAGCCCGCGGCGAAATATATCGATTGCTCCACGCACTGTGGGCCATCGCGCCCCAAACTTATATTTATCTAAAAGCTGTCTTTCAGCAAATGTGAAAGAATTTTCTTCGTCAGGGTCGTATGGCCAATCAGAGGGTTCTACATCGGTACGCATCTGGGACGTAAGATAGCGTTGAGTTCGCAATCCTCGTTTTACAAAAAAGTGGACAGTATCTAACGTGATTTGGACCTCCTTGGGATTTTGATTAACTGTCTCGTTTAGGAATTTGATAATGTCGGTTTGCCCGAGCGAGATGAAAAGTCGCAAGACCCTGAGAACTTCGGGATCGGTGATAAGCTTCTCGACATCTGGTAGTAATGAGTTTGAGTCAACCATGCTGCTTTGGCACTTGATGGCTTGTATTGAAAATATTGCTCAACGAAATCGACGGTCTGTATCTAACGCGCTCACACGTCTCAACTGTATTGGAAGATAATCTGGATTAATTCTTTGTATATCCTGATAACGTTGGAAGCTGTTAAATGGAGACTAAGTAATTTGATGGAACTGTTATCATACCAAGTGCACTAATTATATCTATGCCATCTATCAACTATCATCTAGAGGTCCGGCAGAATCACAACAATATTCACTTCTGGCTATACAATCCGAGAAGAATTTTACAGGCCATTGTACCGGTATGAACCTCCTCACGACCGACCTTCATCCACAATTTCTATATTTGCACGATCTCTCTTAGTGTGCTCAGATTGTTCCAAGACTTGATAAATCTTATAATAGATATTATCAGTGCGAAAACAGTTTGTCAGGCCGTTTTAGATACCACAACGCATTCTGATCACTAGACCGGCAAAGTTCCGACCGGCCGGCCGCGAATGCTGCATAAGTTAGTCGCAATATTTCATTCATTCAGAGATTCTATTTTTAGACATTCTTCTCTCCCAAACACAGATGATTTGAAGACTCAATCAATGTCTCCATAGGCATTATCAATTTGATGACCGGTTATCTGACCCTCTCTAAATACAGAGCTATTTTTAATCCGGCAGTGATAAACTAGGCCGAATAATCGCAGGTCCGCGTCCATCAAAACATAAAATTTGATACGGGTAATTATCAGCATAGCTCGATCTCTCCAGTCTCTAACCGCATGTTATAGGCGACACTTGACTAGTGAATATCAAAGTTAAGGGAGACAAGCTTGGAGCAATTTCAGGTTGAAAAACTCTTTTCTATCTTTCGGGATATCAATCATGTGATCTAAAAGAGGGCACTGTATTGCACTAGCGTATACACTAGCGCTAGCACTTCTACTATATTAAATACTAGCTTCCCATAGTTAATAATGATCAAGAACGAATACAACCATAATAGACTAAAGTACTTTACACTTATCAACCAAGTTGATACCAACACTATCTGTACGCCAACCAGCAATAGGCCAGCCTTACCCCCAAGTGTTGCCCTACTAGAGCGAACAAGATAGTTCGATTACGGGATTCCCGTTACCTGTGATCATCTGCGGGAGAATAGCTTACTTGAGAATATACTCGAGATGAAATGAAATGCAATGTGGGCCCCCACCATCTCAAATGCTTCCCAAATAACCTCATTCGTTCTCATTTCTAATTCAACAGGCGAATCACAGAGTACGCTAACCAAAGAATGGTACAATACAATGGATTCAACAAAACAAATAATGTCAATAACAAATCTCCCAAAAACAACGAAACCAACATTACTAACCAGTACATCAACCTAAACATCCAACGGGTTTTGGAGAAGCCCTAGCATGCCAGGTAGGGGTATGATTCCAACGGGCCGGGCAAGTTTAGCGCCTCGTCTAAAACCACGCTAAACCCGGTCGCAATCCCGGTCCTTGGGACTGATGTGGGATTCCACCCGATTGAATATTGGTAGACAACTATAATGACCTATATTAAAGAGTATTATATCTATTTACTCTAAGTCCAAAGTCTAATTAATATCTGAAAATGATTTATAAGTAATTAAAATCGATAATAAAGCTTTAATATAGATAATACAAATTCCGTATTCCTTGAAAATAAACAACTTATCATTCCCCAAGAGTATGGAATAGGTTTAGGTTGAGCTCCTGTATAGATATTTACAAAAATCTATAGTTTGAGTCTTCAAAGAGACGAGGAAATTTCAGAGTGGAAATTGCTTATAGTGGAGGCTGCATCTTCCGGGACAATCGAGATAACAACGATGTTACCTTTCTGGTGTAACTATTCGAGAGTTTATGTATAACCTCTCCGGGACTTAATTAAGTGACTTCCGGAAACTCTCTTTATATAGAATAGGCTCTTATAGACTTTTCTAAGCTTTACACAATTGATAGTAAGATGTACTAGACTCAGTTGCTACAACAGTATTATGCTCTTAACTATTATTACTTTTATCCTTCAGATCCATCAATTCGTTGAAGTCAGTAGTGTCTGCTTTCTTGACTCTCTACATCAACTTGTTGACATCCGGGCACATGATACTTGTAATGTTTTCGTAGCTTATAACTAATATATAAGAGAATTTGATAGATCAGAAAGAGACTTAATCTTCGAGACAGTCAGAACACATACTTCAAAATTATAGGCATTACAATATAGAGCTCTAGATATCATCTATCAGTATATTTCCTCTCATCGCCCTACATTCATATAGAAACGAATCATTATATAGAATGGTAATACTAATACACTATAGGAAACTTAAGATGCGATCTAGTCGTAGTGCGTGTACCAATCGACCCGGAAAGAAACACGAGATATCCGCACGTTTGACGTAAAACGAGACATAATCAACGAAAGTTACATAATCATTTTGCACTCGCAAACCTGGGTATAAACATTTCATCATTATTATTAGGTTGTTATATATAATCAGAGGTAAGCTATCCCCAATAAAAAGTGTATACAGCAAGGTATCTTAAATTCTAAAACGCCAGAATCCGCAATAAAGTCCCAAGCACTGGACCAAAACCCAAGGTATCAATACTGTCCCAAACGCCATGCCTTACTAGTCGCAACCCATTCTTCATATCTTTTCCCCACAGGCTACACCTTTTCTACTCTTCTTTTCCCTTCCATCTTCTCTTTCCTCATCTCCTCCAGCTCCCTCTCTAAGGTCTTTTGTAACCTTTCCAGTACCCATTCACTCTCTTCTTTATTCCCCATTAATGGACTTCTATGTCCCACCCAACTCCACTTCTCCTCTTTATCATCGGATCTGCCCTTTGAGCCACCTAAATTCTTCCCGCCTTTAGGTTTTACAATCGCCTTTCTATGGTTTTCAGCCTCGCTCTCGTCATCTCCTGTCAATTTAAGATACCATGCCCATTCGTCGAATGTGTATTTCCTTGGTGGAGAACTGTTAAGGTGTTTCATCACTTCTCCAATCTCCTTGATAAGGATACAATGATAATGATGTCGATTTATGGGTAACGTATCATTCTCATCTGTGTGATCTTCGCCGCGTCGAGTCCGGATGTGTTCCCGTTCATTTTGCGCGGTGCCAAGACCAGTAGTCTTGCCACAATCGCGTGGATCTGCAGTATCTTTAGCATCGGGAGGTAGTTTCGATATCTTGAATAATTTCCCAAATGTCATCTTGTTTGTTGTTTCTTTGATCGAATGCTTTACTCCTTTCTCGCCAGGTAAGATAGTAGAATTTCCGATCCAAAGAGTGATATCACGAATTCCCTTCACGATTGTGTCTCCCATGTTACTGATAAGGATTGTAAGGGAGGGAACGGCAAGCAGAGACCAGAAAACGAAAAATGGTTTGCCTGAATTGGATTGTGGGTAATAATCCCCATATCCAATAGTTAAGAGCGAGGTGTAGGAAAAGTAAAGAGACTCAAAGTAACTCCAGCTTTGTGTATACTCTGTGACACGAAATATTGCTGCCCCAACAAACCAAAGTAAGAGCCATGTACTTCCAGAGATTATCAAAGAAGTCCAACGACGTTTAGTAGCCGCCTCTTCTTGAATACGTCTCATTAAATCGAACTCTTGTTGACGTCTTTCTCTTTCCGTTAAACCTTCATCACTGACAAGTGTATTTTTTGATTCCGGAGATGAATCTCCTGTTGCTATAGGCTTCAGTACTTCAACATTCTTCTTTTGAGTTTTCCTCAAGATACGCCTTCGTTCTTTTTCGACCATTCTAGCCCCTAGCTTGACTTTCCCACGTTCCAAGACCAACGACCGGATCGAACCGATAACGAGACCCAGAATAATGATTCCGCCAATGGCGAATGGAAACAATAAACTCCTTCCCAAATGTGTCATTGGTGCATAGTCTCCGATACCAACTGTCAAAAGTGTAAAATCACACCAATAAAGAGCATCAAGATATTGCCATGACTCAACATGAGAAAACACTGCCGCACCAGCAAGTAGATATACCAGGAAACTGATCGTTTGTAACATTAGAGTTCTTTGACTCATAGTCAGCTTGAACTCTTTTGGGTAATGCCCTTTATATGCTCCGTATACCGTCACCACCATCAAACTGGCCACCAGGAAATATAGACCAGCAGAAAATAGAGCATAGTAGAATGCTTGCGTATAAGCATGGTCCGGCGGGGATGGAATTTTCAAAGGCCCAGATGCGCAAGCCGTTAATCCAATTAATGCTAAAGAAGACAGATACCAGCCAATAATCGTGATAGGTTGCGCGATTGAGAATTGAACTCTTTCTGCCATATTCAATAATAGGAACAGATTCGAGATGAGGGCTATTGCCAATTGTGCAGCATTTATACCGATCAACCTATTCCAATGTGTCAACATAGCGTTCTTCCAATAGTTCTCAAAGCGCATACCATTTCGGATCGTCGATGTATATTCCATGCTCCTCCACTCCACCCGGTGGTATCGAGACCCTCCAACGTACAACTAATGCGCAGATACTAAAGGCCGATGCCACCGGTCCAAAGGTGCCGGCGACGAGAGGAAATGCAGTACTAGCAAACCACCAGCGACTGAAGAAATCGTTTGTTAGCAGAGTCTTCAATTTGAAGGACGGGATATCAGCAGGATCTCCCCTCTTGCGTACCTTGGCTCTAGGAAAGCTTCCACATCTTCCTTGGTTTCATCCTTCTCATCTCGTTGTTGATTCTCTATATCATCAGCGTCGTTGGAGATAGGTTCATCAAGACCTGGATCGTTCATTGTGAAGGAGATAAGACAAGGTTAAATATTTGGCAGAGATGAAATGACATATGAAATTTTCGAATCAGAACATATCGAAGAAATAATCCTTGGCTGAGATTCGATAAATGTATTTATTTATTTATTGTATCAAAAAGTTCTATCATGCGACCAACAATTATATTAATTTTTACCAAA